CCCCAAAACCCCAAAACCCCAAAACCCCAAATAACCCTTAAATATTTTTTTATATCGATTCCTTACTTATATTATTTTAAAGTGTAAAATAATGGAGAAACTACCACAGCTAGTTAAGAAAGCAAGCCACGGAGGTTTAGGGGATGATAAAATGGGAACATTTTTCGTAAGCAACTATTATCTCTCAATACCACACTCAGTTCTCACCTTTGGTCTTATAGAACACATTGTCGAAAGTACCTGAGGAAAGGAGTAAATAAAGAGATGATTGAGATCATTCCTAGGATCAGGTCTATCAAGTTCTTTCAGGAGAAAGAAAGTAGCGACGACTTTACAATAGATCCTGAGATTTATTACCTCGATATCATTAAGCGGCTCAAGCTTGAATTTATTCCTCGAGGGGAGATCGTGTTTGACATGGGTATGACAATATTGAGGTCTTTGGCTCTTGCTACTTTAAGATTTTAATTCACTTACTTATTACTTCAACATAGGTTCCATCGGAGATAAATTTTATATCATTCTCAAAGGCATGGTTAGCATATTGGTCCCAGGAAAAAGAGCTATGGCAAAGAAATCTACCTCTCAAGGGGGCAATGAGAAGGATGAGTTTTACTTCTGCTCGGACAAGGTTAAGGATAAAATCTCTGGATTCTTCGAATTTATTGCGCTTGGTAAGTTTAGAGTCTTTCAAATCTCATTGTCTGTTGGAAGAGATTTCCGTAAAAATAGGAAGATAATATAGTTTAGTTAGGTGAAGATTTTTGTTTGAACAATTACTACAATGTTGTTATTTCATAACACTTTTTATAGATGATGGAAAGAGCTTTGGAGAAATGGCTCTCATGAATAATAAGCCCAGAGGAGCTACAATTTTATGAAAGCAGGACACATATTTCGCAGTGATGGATCGGGAGGATTTCCGTGGAACTCTCATGAAGTTAGAAGAGAAGGTCCAAGATACCTACATTCACTTCCTTCGTAATTTCTATCATAATCTTACTATAGAGGGTACAGCCTTGTTCAGATCATGGGGTCATTCGGTGTTATATAAACTATTATTTGCCATTGAAAAGACTACGTTTAAAAGAGGAGATAAGATTTACAAACAAGATGATCCTGCCAATACCTTCTACATAGTCTATGAGGGCGAGTTTACGATGCATAAATAAAGTAGAGATCAACCAAGAGTACGACCCAATGTTCACTTCTCATCCAAATCGTGTCTGACAAGAATGTAAATATCCATGCTCTATTTATAAAAAGGAAGGACTTGAGCACTTCGAAAGTAGACGGAAGAGCCCAAATTATCATCCTAAGGTGAAATCTACAGCAGAGAGTGTTGTGCTGATCATGCAGAAAGGCCAGATTTTCGGTCTTGAGGATTCCTTTACAGAGGACCCCAAGAAGAACACTCTCAAGAAGTACTACAAGCACAGTGTGGTAGGGCAAGGAATAACCTATTTAGATTTGAAAATCTGCTAAAGCACGCTTGCTTGTTTTCAATAAGAAAAATACCTTTAACAAGATAATATATAATGAACACAGTCTGAAGTTCATCAGGTTCGTCTTGAGCGGGAAAAAGACCAAAGAAAAGATGAGGAAGATCCAAGTTAAAAGAATTTTCGCTGGAGGCAGCACTCTAGGAAGAAAACAACAGCCAATGAAAGCCTTCAAAAATGATTTCGTAAGGATTTTTATGATTAAAAAACTCGATTGGATGCATTACCAACAACTTCATAGGTCAAAAAGAATGTTATGCTGGATAAATCCGAAGGAGATATGCGAGAAATCATTAAAGAAGTTGCTTCAGGCTATCCTAAGTTCCTCAGCAAGGCCTTTGGAGCTCCAGATTTTATGATCAAAAGGGAGAAAATACTCTACCAATTTCTGAAGATGGAGAATAGTAATCATTCGTAAGCATGCCTCAAACTTAATTTCTCACCAATATCTAGAACACGAGTGAATAGCCCTCCAAGAATAAAGGAGATTGTTACTTCTCGTAACTGAGCGAAGATCATCAGGATTTTCGATGAGGAGTATAAATAAGAACAGGCAGTTCCTGGATGACAAGTTCTTTATCACAAAATTAGGAGATCCCAAAATAAAATAAAATTATATCTGAGAATTACAAAATTATTAAACTCTTTTACTCGGAGTGTGAGAAATATATGACAAACCTGAAAAAGTCCCGGAATATAGATAATTTCCTGAAGGATCCAGAGAGGGTGATTGTCTCTTTGTCTCCTCTGCCACACGCCAAGTCACCTTTTGAAAATAATAGGAAGATTAACCTGAATGTATATTTTAGATTTTTACAGTTTAGTATAGATGCAATAGCAATGGCCAGACTCTTGGGAGGTATAAAAACACTAAGCTCAGAAAAGGTAAACCAGGATAATCATCTTTTAGAAGTCATGAAGGCCATGAAGATAACTCCTTCCAAGCTTCCACAGAAAGAGACGCTTGTTAGAGCTAATACCAAAGAGGAGATAAGGAAGAATAGGAAGGCAGAGTCTTCTCTGGGTGTCCAATCTCCTCCCAGGAACTCTACCATAAAACGGTGGCATACTAAATCTATCACTCTTTTTGATGAGAAGCATGGGATAAACTCGACCAAGCATAGCACAAATGCTAGCTATGCCCAGAAGATTTTTGATATTAATAAATCTATCAGTCCTAAGATGAGGATGATCATGAGTAAAAATAATACTAAATTAGTGAAGAATGAGACTTCCTTCCATAATTACAGCAGGAAGGATCTCACAGATAGCATTATGAGCGGAAATAGTACTCTAGAGGATACTTCAATTAAGCTTTCATCCAAGGAATCTATGTATGTACCCTACCTAATCTCTCTAGCCTACAGATTGAGAAGAATTACGTCCATGACAAGATCTCCACTCGACTCAAAAGGCAAAGATGGAAGCCTAAGAAACAGACTTCATTTATCAGGCATGAATTTTAGGCGTAAAATTTCTATAATCTCTCTATTTTCGGGGTTTTGGGGTTTTGGGGTTTTGGGGTTTTGGGG